AAAGAAAGAAAGAAAGAAAGAAAGAAAGAAAGAAAGAAAGAAAGAAAGAAAGAAAGAAAGAAAGAAAGAAAGAATATCATGTACTGTTAAACCATTATTGGTTGTCTAAGAAAAATTGTAATGAACTCAACTTTGTAAACTCCTATAACTCTTCCGGCAATTCAACCTACCTGTTTTGGTGTTTCCCCCTTTGTAGGCTATGTGCTGAATGGCATCTAGTAGAGTTTCTTTGCTTCTGTAGGCATTCAATTTAAATTCTGTCCTCGTATCATCACTGAACTGGGCAATTGCCACCTGAATAAGAAAGATACCTTAATAATCATTCATGTACACAATTTAGCAAGAGGAGTTTACTTTTTTAAAATCCCAGCCTATGAGTCAGATATGGGAAGGAGCATGAAGCAAGAAGGTCATTTCAGAAAAAGATGGCTGATTATCAAACTAAAGAAAGTGTGAACATTTTCTCCCTTTTTCAAAATATCAGAGTCATGCAAAGCTAACTTGGTCGAGATTTAGAACAGATAAGGGGTCTCTAAACTTGGCACCTTTAACATTCGTGGACTTCAACTCCCAGAATTCTCATGGCTAGTTGAGGAATTCTGGGAGTTGAAGTTCGCAAATATTAATTGTCAAGTTTGGAACCGCTGATCTTGATCATGATTAACCTGGATGAAAAAAGTACAGTTTAAAAACTATGGGCAAAGAGTCTTTGTGTTGGAATCGGAATGTGAAAAATAAACATTTTTTCAGATTAATTCTTTCAGTTTGTTCAGTGTGACTATATTTTGATACAATTGAAAACATTTCACACTAACTTTAAAATGTTAATATTCTCAATGAATCTTCTCTCGTGCTCACCTGAGTTCCATCGGGACCAATCTTGTCAAGGGCACCAACAGTGCTATATAGAAAGCCAATTATTTTGTTGAAATTTGAATCTCCAATACTCCAAGATCCATCCACCAAAAATACCAGGTCAGCCTTTGCAGCTTTGCAAACTGCAAAAATATACAAAGTAGTTTGAAATAAAAAAGGAAACTCAGATTCCCTGTGGCAGAATCATATCCACATACACAAACAGTTTCCCTTATTTTGACAAACGTTTATTCTTCATAATAAACAACAAACTATTCTTTACTTTTGTACATTGCTCCACAAATTTCCCAGTTTTAGTAAGCATTCTATCAAGGTATGCAAATTAATTTACATATTTTAATTTCATGTCTTATTTGCAATTTTTGATTTAGTTTTCCTAATCAAATACAGCTACTTTGGTCTTTAATAGTCGCTCTAGGGGTGAGATAGATAACATGTACAATAAATAATAAAAATTTGATGTACAGATCCATAGTTATCTTTTTATCATACTGTCTAACACTGCAAATCATTCAGCTTCTCGGTCAACAATATAGCAATGTTTCCATATTGCATATTCATGTTCAAACAAGCACTAATATCTAATATTGAAATATCACACAAACATCTATTCTACATTTATCCATAAAACTTTGAATAACCAAGAGAGCAATGCCAAATCATTTGTGGAACGTTTTATTGATTCCCGAGGCATTACTTCCCTGATACAGTACTCTAAGTGATCAATCAGCCTTTTAGCTCTAGACTTGCTAAGAATTTTTCATAATTCACTCCCACTCACTTCATCATACATTATCTCAAAATCAACAAGCATGAAATGCAACTTCTTTCTTATATTCATATGTTTCTTAATGACCTGTTAACAGCAAAAAAATGGCTTGAAACTACCAATGACTCATATGTGCCATATTTAGAGTGTTTTGTCACTCTCACGTCCTTCACTAGTTTTCTTACTCTTTCATCATGAACTACCAAAAGAATTGTGCTTTTTCCTATTTACTCTTAAATGTTTCTGTATTTAAACTGCATATTTAAAATAAAGACCATCTTCAAGCAAATACCAAAACAGATACTGTACCATTCTAATTCATTCTTGGGCTCCAAATGATATAATCACTTTCCCTATACTTCCTTGCATTGTTCCCACCCATATTTTCTAGGTCAAGAAGAGATTGGCTTGCATAACTGTATGACTGCATGGCTGTAACTTTGTTGCTTGTATCCTTATGACTTATATTGATTGTTTCCTAGTGTGATCTGATTGCTTACTTGTACCCCATGACTATCATTAATTGTGGTACCATATGATTCATGACAAAATGTATTTTTTCTTTTATGTACACTGAGAGTGTATGCACTAAAGACAAATTCCTTCTGTGTCCAATCATACATGGCCAATAAAGAATTCTATTCTATTCTATTCCATTCCATTCTATTATATTATATTATATTTGTTAAATGACCAGGGTGATTTACTTAACAGCAAAAATAGTTGTAAAATTGGGCACAGTTCATTAACTGCATTGCTCCAAGTTCCAGTTCCAATTGTGATTAAAATTCAAGGACTACCCTACTATAGTTAAATAATATTTTTTTTTAAAAAAAATCTCTTAGTATTATCTTTACAGAAAGATTACCTTCCTTTGCTGGAGGAATCGTAGGCGGTGGAGTGGTGGTTGAAGGAGTTGGTGGTGGCTCAGTTGGGTAGGGCACTGAAAATGGAGAAAAGTTAGAAAGAATTATGTAGCAATGGCAGTTGATATATTATATATGCCTTACTGAGATGTTTGAAGAGAAAGAATTAAAAAAAACATTGTCCTAAGCACAACTACCAAGATCCCATTTATAGAGATCCGAAATTTTTCCTCAAGTTCAAAATCTAGACATCCATAGGTACTGGAGCTAATATTTTGTCTATTGACCAGTGAGAGGCAGAAAAATAAGTCCCTACTAATGATACCAGACCTATCCCTACCATTGGCTAATCACAAGTGTTTTTTTCAATGTTTGAACAAGAATCTAAAGTTTGACTCCTCAAAATTCCAACTAATATAGATATCAATTTCACTTCATGAAGCTCCTAATTCCAAAGTCTCTGATGCTTTGTATATCAAAAGAAACTATAGAAAATAAATCAGAAAATTAGACAGGCAGATGGAATCTCTGTTTACTTCTGACAATTAACACATGAACAATATTCGGAGTCAACATTATATAAGAAATAATCCACTTACGTGTTGCCTCTATTATACTGACAGCAGGCCCTTCCAATTCCTGAACTTGTGAGTAAACGCTGATGTTATATTTTGTGCCAGGAAAGAGTTGATAGAAACAATGCCTAGATGCTCCCCAACCTAATGGTTCTTCTTCTATTGCCCCATCTGAAAGTAAAGGGAGAACATTAAATGATCAGGACTTTATTGTTATTTTCTAAAATACACAGCAGCATAAAGAGCAACACCCTAAGCACAAGTATATTTTGAACTGTGAGGGAGGAGGACTATGTCTATGAACATGAATGGTTCTTGTTTCTGATATTTCTTCATGATAACATAATTCTAATCTACTAAAGAGCCGAGGTGGCGCAGTGGTTAAATGCAGCACTGCAGGCTACTTCAGCTGACTGCAGTTCTGCAGTTTGGCTGTTCAAAT